TGTTCTTCTCAGAACCACACAAACTCAAAGAAGAGATAAATACATGGTGTTACCGCACTCTTTACTATAGATCTAGTGTTCATTTTGTTGGTAGCAATGCCGCGACCGGACGCGTGCATTTCATAGTCTTTCGTTAACCAGCAAAGTTCAGTTCCGACCAAAGGCGCCTACGTTGCTGAAAAATTTGTGCCCTCTCTTGGTTCAGCTCGAGGCTCATAGTGGCTACAGCTGTGTCCCATTGATGTGTTTTGGCTTGGTCAAGTCAGTGGGCACAGCCATGTTTTTGGAATACATTGCGAATGTCACTCCAGGGGCTTTCCAAATCCGTCGATATACCAAGCCAGAAACTTTGGGTAGATTGTTGTCCCGGTGATAAAGATCAGCGACGTTTCTGTAGGCCTATTTTATTTTGATTCTAATGCATGTAGTTCACGGTTACTAGTATTAACGACGTATACCTGACCTCAGTTTTCAGTTGGCACTACAGGGACCTTCATTTTGCTCGCATCAGTAAAGAGATACTCTGCAGGGGTTTGGTCATTCGTGGGCGTGCCCTCGTCCCCCCCCCCCCACACGTGCACCCACACACATTTCATTCTCCCACAAGGGAGCGAAAAATAAAATGTATTAAGTGTCGAATGTCGTGTGTAATACTGCCCTCTCTACCTTCCGGGGTTTTTTTTGTTGGCGATTGTGTAGGACGACCACAAAATGACCTGCTGCTTTGGATCGCTAAGGAGCTTGGTCAAGACTGGAGGAGGCTGGCAATTCATCTGGGCCTTAGCCAGGCCAACGTGGATGACATCGATGGACAGCCACACAAAAGCCAAAAAGACAAATCGTTCCAGGTAATAAACGAGGGCTTGAGACTGCTGACAGCAAGTGCATTTCCGTCGCGGGGAACGATTATGGCAATTGGACTTCCTAACTTCAAATATCAATTTCCAGATCAAGGAGGCTATCGTGAGGGGCTCGATCATTTCAGATATTGCTCATTGTAACTGCAACCCGAGTCGCTGAGTAAATTATATAGCTTTTTTGTGCTATAGTAAGGGTAACAGACAATTTACCTCTGTTTTGAACGACAGATGTTGACAAGCTGGACGCGTAAACTGAGAAATGACAAGAACGGGTACGAAATACTCATAACAATGCTGGAAAGTTGTGATCGAAATGACATTGCAGAGATGGTCGAGAATTATGACAGAAATCACAGTAAGATTCTTTTTTCTGTTTAACTGAACAAACTAACACATTTTAAGAACAAAACGTCCACGCATCCATCATGCAAAGAAGTATGCCTATTATATAGCCTCGGCATATCTTCGTGTTAAAACCAAGTCCGGATATTCTGTTCAACGTACCTGGTCCTGTTTAAATTTCATCCCACTAAGAAAATTCTTGGAGTGTCTTGTAAACAGCTAGCTAATCTCCACATCATTTAATTTCCAAAACCTGAAGTACTTTTCTGCCAGAAATAAATGAGTCAATCTCTTTGCATGTATCTCTGGTTTCAAGTCGTTTGAAAATAACATTGATCCCTTTTCCTTTCAGACCCGCCATCGCCTAATCCCGACAATCCTGACTATTTGCCAGCAAAGATGAGACAGATTCTGAAAGACAAATATGGTGAACATCGCTTTGTTTTCTGTTCATCGGTTGACGAGAAAAGATTTGAGTTTTCTGAGCTTTTTACAAGCCTTGAACTTACCAAAACGGCGGTTGTGTCAACGAGGTTGAACGTACACACGGAGCTGCTTGACTTGAGAAATGCCGACGGCGACGCGTACAAGCGAATCTTGTTGAGGGGACCAAAGGGATGCGGGAAAACAGTTCTCTTGAAAGCCGTATCCCAGGATTGGTCCAAACAAAATGACAACCCCAGGAGCCTCGCCAGCAACTACGACCTATTGTTTACCATCGATCTCCGAGAAGTCAGCGAGGAAGAAGACTTAGCCGACGCTGTCTTTGCGCAGCTGCTGCCCGAAGATGTAAGACTGTCGAGAGACAGTCTCAGATCGTACATGGATGACAAGGAGAAGCAGTCGCGAGTGGCCATCCTTCTGGATGGCTTGGACCAGCTCATCTGCTGCGGCAATAGGCTCAGCTCTAAAACGGTCCCAGAGTATTTCTACAAGATGATTACGAAGAAGGTTCACCGTGAGAGCTTGGTCATCGTGGCTTCCCGCACTCTGACAAAGAAGCTACCCGACGCTTACCAAATCATAGATGTGGGAGGCTTTAGCAGGGAGAACGTCGCCACCTACGTCAGTAAGTTCTTTCGAGATAACAAGGAAAAGATGCTTTTTCTCCAGAATGTTTTGGAGAGTTATTCCTCAGATCTGACAGATTTCTCAACGTACCCTAGCGTTATCAGCGCCCTCTGTGAGCTGCTGCAAAGTGCCGGCACTGAGGCATTTCCTAAGGGGCTAACAGAGATTTACGATCACATCTTTAAGGATATGGTGAGACAGTACAAGAGCAGCATCTGCATACACGGCAATGGTCCTATCAGCTATTTCTTCAAAAGCCTCCTAAAATCTGTGGACTACGCGGACCTTTTCCCAAAATTTCACAACCCGGTTCCTGTTAGAGGCGAACAGTTGGAGAAGTTCTTCTATGATATTGGGAGAGTGGCTTTACAAGGCCTTCTTTGCACGAGAGAGAACCGTGACTTTGAAGAGTTCGACTTCGGTAGAGACGCCCTGGCAATAGCTTGTTCAGTTGGGATTCTGGTGAAAGACGATGAGAAGTCGGTAGCTGTGCGGTTTTGCCATCCCAGCGTACAAGAGTACTGCGCCAGCAAATACTGTCAAAGTCTTGCCACCTCAAAGCCGACGAAATTCAGAAAGAAACTGGGGCGATTTGGCGACCAAATCAACTTGTACAGGTTTTGCTGTGGCAACAGTAAGGAGAGCAGCGACCTCATCATGAAGTTTATCATACCACCCCTGGCCCAGGGAAGAGTGACCCTCGGCACTTCCCTGGAGGGAAGGATTGCTCTCGCTTGCCTGGCTGAATTTCATTCGGATTCTTTCCTCCAGCATCTGGAGCCTTGCCTCACTGCAGACGGGTCGATCAAAGTTGAGTACTCGTCTGTCGGGTCCTGGCTGCTGCGAGTTCTTTGCGACGTTCTTAATACTGCATGTCGAAGTGACACGTTTCGACTAAGTCTGCAAACTGTGCGCACTTTGAATGTCACTTGCGGAATGAGCACCCAGTGCATTAGCAGCATTAACACAATTGTAGGACACCTCAGTAATTTGCAAACGGTCGTCTTGGTCAATAATTCAGACCAAATACCGTCTTGGTTGGCTACAACTCCAAACGGGGATGCAGTGTGTGAGCTGGTCTCACATCTTAGAAATCACCATCTGTCCAAGCTGACGATCGTCAACTGCGGATTGGGTTCAAGATGCGTTTCACACATACTGAGCCAACTGCCCTATTTAGAGTTTCTGGACCTGTCAAATAATCCACGCATTATTTGGTCGAAGCTACGGGAGCCCGCCCGGTACCCAAAGCTGACAACGTTAAAGCTGAAGCAGTGTGGCATCACCGAAGACGAAGCAAAGAGCTTCGTTGAGTTCCTCCAGCAGCAGTCGGACCTTACAGAGCTGTCAGTTGACTGGAATGATCTGGAGACAACCGGGCTGGCTATCATCATGGACGCCGTCTGCGACTTGGGGAAGCTCCAGCTTGTCTCTGCGGAGAGGAAGCGCTCAGATGGCATGTCACTCCCACATGAGGAAACAGTCAGAATGCTGAGACGTTGCAGCGCTCTAAAGGCGTGCAACGTGAGCAAATGGAAACCAAAGGATGAAGAGGCAGGGGCAGAGATGCTTGAAGCTGCAAGCCATTTAGATGACTTCCAGGCTCTCATGTAAGCTTCAAGTAGGAAGACCTACGCATTAACCCCAAAACGAATAAATGAGGCCTTGTCACCAGCACTGTACAGGGGCTTGTCTTGTCAATGACCTAAATTTATTATGAGAGACATCAGGATGTCAAAATCGTGACACACTACAACTTATAATTATAACCTAAATATAAGTACATCAGCATAAAAATTGAGAGAAAAGGGGCAATGAATATATTCCTTGTTTTAATGTCTTATTTATAGAGCGATATCATGGTCTATAACGAAAGTAGCCTGATTTTTGTACTTTAGATTCGACGAGAGATCGTTCATGGTGGATGAATTTGGAAATGTAGTTTCTTCGTAAGTACAAACTTCCTAATTCACAATGATAAAAGTCGCTTCTAATAGAAGAACAGTATAGCGGGTATACATTTAAGACTAGAACTTAATCTGCACAGTTCAAAGAATGCTTTTACATGTGAAATAGCATCTTTTATCGACTTCTTATTGGTCAGTTTTGAACAAATGAAGGCAATGGCTAAAAGTATACGAAACTACAAGTGCGTTTACCTGATTTTTTCGCTCCTTAGACCCAACGAAGCATCAGACCCCAACGACGACGTAGGAAATGAAGCCTCTTCGTAAGTATGCAATTTATAACACCGAGTACCGTTTTTCTTTAATAGAACATTATGTTAAACTCCCTTGCATAAGTGGTTTGTTTGTAGGTTTCTATAACTGGTGAGTTTGCAAACATCACAACAGCACGGCTAATTCCGCCCTTTTTCACTCTTCAGATCCAACGAAAGATCGGACACCAGCGGAATGTTGGACGAAAAGCCATATTCGTAAGTATTTTTAATTCACAGATCCCAAAATCCACTTGGAATAGATATGGATGTCTCTAGCATTTTAGTGGATGTGACTAGTTTCCATTTTTTTTTCTAAACAGGTGTACAGACACTCTGCTTGGATTCAGTCCCCATCGCAAGAAATCTTATTCCCAACAGCACAGCACGTAAGGGATCGACCTATGATTGAGATAAAGGGTGATTGGGTTACATGTGAAAAGCACATTACTATTGTATTAATTTCTCTATTTCCTTTGACGTCAGTGCAATGTACAAAAACACGGTTCACTTTCAGAAACAGTGACAGCCTGGTTGTAATTAGCATCTGTAACGTCTTATTTGTGCCTTCTGAAAAAAAAAACTAATCTAAGTTAGGGCGAGTGTGTACATAGCAGACAAAATGCTCGTTGGTATGGTTCGTCTGTTATGTTGTTAAACTGACGTCATGTGATGTGGATTGCGCACCGTTGTGAGCCAGCCCCGTCAGTGCATCAATGGAAGATGTAAAATCTGACGCGTAACTAAACCACCGTACGGCATAACCTGAAAAATGGAAACAACCTATTCAGAGCGGTGCCGATATGTCCACGGTTCCAAGGCTAGGCGTGTTCAGTCATTTTAATACTGTGAAGTGTATGCATACATTCACGTTTGAAATGACAGCCAAGCGTCAATGAGTTCCCCGCAAATGACAACTTGGAAGACCTAAGGGGGGGGTGAAATTATATTCGGCAATTTTCACCTGTGTGATGCCAACGTGCTACCTCATACGGGTTACGATAGAATGTCGTGGATTGGATAGACCTAAGCATATGCCTAAGTGAGTACGTTTTAACTCTTACGTACCTGCGAGGGGAAGAATTCCATAAACGAAGTTCA